GACCCCGGCTCGCGGGGCACGGGGCGCGGTGCCAGCGTCGGGACGGTGGGGGAGTTCTTCTTGAACGACTTCCCGGTCTTTGCCAAAAGTTAAACCCACAGCGGTGATTGTGGGTCTCTCATGGCTGTAACGGTGTTGAGGGCGCTGTGCGGACTGGTTGAATAGCGGTCATCTTTTACAGCCGTGAGCACTTCCCAGCCTCCCTGCCGCCGGGAGAAAGCCCGGCTTCCCTGGCTTTTCAAAAGCTTTCGCGTTTTACCCAATGGTGTGGTCGTCCAAGTTTTCCTCCGAACCGTTTTTTTTCCCGCCTTGACTCTTTTGTACTCTAAAAGAACGCGTTTGTTCATTGTTTTGAACCTTTCCAGTTACTTTTGTATATTTATTTCGCTTGCTAGTAAGCCAGCGGTTTTCAAAGTGTCGTTACAACTATTTTCGTAATAGTACCAAGGACCTGTACATCGAGTTTTCCAAAGGCTACATGATATGGAATGATACCACCGTTTGGAGGGCCGATGTCTGTGTATTCTTTTTTTTTTTTTTTTTTTTTTTTTTTGAGACGGAGTCTCGCTCTGTCGCCCAGGCTGGAGTGCAGTGGCTGGATCTCAGCTCACTGCAAGCTCCGGTCTGTGTATTCTTACAAACAAATTCTCCCTTTTAATTTCTGATAGTAAACGTTAGTGGTTTTAATCTATGTAAACAAAAGCCCTTTGGAGACTGGAGACCAAAAAGTTTGAGAACTACTCTCCTAAGCAGCCTCCTACATGAGAAGTTTAAATTGTAGAAAGAGTTCAGATTGTAGGCTGAGAGATTAGAGGATCCTTCCAAAGTGACACCGTTGGTTTGTTTTATAGAACCTGGACAAAGATTTTTCTCCCCGATTCAGCCCAGGTCTCTCTTCATTCCATCGCGTATTTTAAAAAATCTCAAATTTTCTGTTTGGACCCCCTTGTCTCAGTTGCTGTGTTTGTGTGCATGTGTGAGTGAGGGAGAATTGAGGGGTCCTGGTGAGGAAAATGTGTTTTATAAACTCTTTGATTCGTAGAGTACGTATCCAGACACGCTTGAGCAGAAGAGAGCACTTCATTTAGCTGATGTTAGATTTCTTTTTAATTGTACTTAATTTGCTTTGAGACTAACTTATTTTCGAATTAAACTTTATTTTGCATTAATTGTAGATTCGTATGCAGTTGTAAGAAATAATGCAGTATAGAGAGAACCCTTTACCCAGCTTTCCACAGTAATATCTGGCAAACCCATAGTATGATATCACAACCAAGATATTGTCATTGATTGCTACGGTGAAGATAAAGGATGTTCCCAGGACCAAGAGGATCCCATAGTGCCTTTTTATAACCACACTCACTTCTTTCCTGCCCTGCCTCCTCCTTAACCCCAGACAATCAGTGATTCGTTTTTATTCCTATAGTTTTGTCATTCCAAGACTTATATAATGGAATCACCCAGTTAGTAACCTTTTGAGGTTGGATTTTTTTTTACTCAGCAAAGTTCTGGAGATTCATCCAGGTTGTTGCATGTATCTGTAGTTTGCTGACGTCGTATTCCATGGTATGATTGTGCCACAGTTTGAAGGACATCTAGGTTGTTTTCAGTTTTTGGCTCTTGGGAATAAAGCTGCTATAAACATTCATGTACAGTAACTCATAATGTAAGCATAAGTCTTTAGTTCTCTGGGATAGATGCCCAGGAATACAATTGTTGGGTCATATGGTAATTGCATGCTTAGTTTTATAAGAAACTGCCAAACTTTCTCAGAATGGCTGTATTATTTTCCATCCCCACCAGAAGAGTAGGAGAGGTCCAGTTTCTGCACATCCTCACCAGCATTTGGTGTTGTCCCTATTTTTAATTTAGCCATTCTTATAGGTGTATGGTGACACCTCATGGTGATTTTAACTTGCATTTCTCACATTGTCACCCAGGCTAGGGTGCTGTGGTGCCAACATGGCTCACTTCAACCTCAGCCTCGACCTCCTGGGCTCAAGCGATCCTCCTGCCTCAGCCACCCCAAGTAGCTAGGACTATAGGTGTGCACCACCACACCCGGCTAATTTTTGTATTTTTTGTAGAGGCAGGGGTGTGACCATGTTGCCCTGGCTGGTCTCAAACTCCTGGGCTCAAGTGATCGTCCCATCTCAGCCTCCCAACATGTTGCCTATTTTCTAGTTAGATTTTTTTTTTTCTGTTGGGTTTAAAGTTTTTCAGGCATAATAAATTCCAGTCCTTTCTCAGATATGTCATCTGCAAATGTTTTCTCTCAGTCTGTAGTTTATCTTTTCATCTTCTAATAGGGTATTTTGCAAAGCAAAATTTTTAAATGTTGTTGAAATTTGTCATTTTTTCCTTTTATGGACTGTGCTTTTGGTGTCAAGTTTAAGAACTCTTTGCCTAACCTTAGATCCCAAAGATTTTCTTGTGTTTTTTTCCTAAAAGTTTTATAGTTTATATTTCATATTTATGTTATGACCCATTTTGAGTTAATTTTTCTGTTAGGTGTCAGACTTAAGTTGAGGGCCATTTTTTGGCCTATGGATGTCCAGTTGCTCCAGCACCGTTTGTTGAATAGACTCGCTTTCAATTACTGAATTGTTGATGCACTTTTGTCAAAAGTCAGTTGAGCATATTTGTGTGGGTCTATTTCAGTCTGTTTCTGGGTTCTCCATTAGCACACAGTCTTGATTCCTGTGGCTGTGTACATCTGAAATAAGGTAGACTAATTTCTCCCACTGGATTCCCCTCTCCCCCAGATTTTTGGGTACTCTAGTTCTGTGCCTTTTTGTGTAAGTTTTAGAATCATCTTATCTATATTTACAAATAATTTTGCTGGGATTTTGAGAGGAATTACATTAAATGTTTATATCAATTTAGGGAGAATTGATAGCTTTACTGTGTTGAATTTTCTAAATCATGTACATAGTATTTCTCTTCATTTCTCGCTCTCGTTTTTTTGGAGACGGAGTGTTGCTCTGTCACCCAGGCTGGAGTTCAGTAGCGTGATCTCAGCTTACTGCAACCTCCACCTCCTGGTTCAAACGATTCTCATACCCCAGCCTCCCGAGTAGCTGGGATTACAGGCATGCGCCACAACACCTGGCTAATTTTTTGTAATTTTAGTAGACACGGGGTTTCTCCATGTTGATCAAGCTGGTCTTGAACTCCCAACCTCAGGTGATCCACCTGTCTCAATCTCCCAAAGTGTTGGGGTTACAGGCATGAGCCACCGTGCCCAGCCCAGACCTTTTATTAATAGAAGAGGATATTACAACTCAGGGAAGTAGCTGAGCACAGTCGCTCACACCTGTAATCCCAGCACTTTGGGAGACCCAGACAGACGGATCATGAGGTCAAGAGATCAAGACCTCATGACCTCATGGTGAAACCCCGTCTCTACTAAAAATACAGCAATTAGCTGGGCATGGTTGCGTGCACCTGTAGTCCCAGCTACTCGGGAGGCTGAGGCAGGAGGATCGCTTGAACCTGGGAGGTGGAGGTTGCGGTAAGCCGAGATCGTACTACTACACTGCAGTCTGGCGACAGAGTGAGACTCTTTCTTAAAAAAAAAAAAAAAAACACTTCAGGTAAGTTTAGTGTCTCGCTCAAGGAATCACAGCTAGTGATCGTGAGATTGCTTTGTGTCATATTGTCCCTGCCATTATCTCCACCATGCCCCTTATTAGGGAATTGCATCATTTTATGATTCAGGAGATCCTGACTGTATAATTAGTTATTGCTGACTGAGATAGTGGATCTTGAAACAGTGTTGAGTACAGTCCATTGGCTGCCTTTTCCTCTCTTGAGAAACAGCCGTAATTTTCCCCTTCTTCAGTTATCCTTACCTTTTAAGTGGTGTCTAAATCTTTGCAATTCCTGTCCACATTTGTCATTTTCTGTTTTAGCTACAATGCTTCTGAACTTTTTTTCTCATTCCTTCTCAGTTATTCTTCAGTGAGGATAATTTTTGTACCTAAGAGGCTTCTCTCATTTGTTTTACTTTCTGTCTTGAAGTTGTGATTCTTAATTCTTTCCTTTCATGTCCTGTTAATTACCATCTCCACGCCTTCGGATATTCCCATCTCTTCATCTGGAGATCCTATAATCATTGTAGTATAATGAAAGACTCAGTTCCCATGCTACTTCCTCTGAAGCTTTCCCAGAGAACCCCAGCCCCTGGCAGCCAGACTACTTCTCATTTGGCATTTGGTCATATGCTACCTTGCAGTACCTCCTAATTTATGTTTTTGTGTTGTTAACCTTTTGCATCAAGTAAGCTCTGCATTTTTTCGTCCTTAATTAAATGATCTGCCTTCAGGAAGAGCAACCTGTGTTATTCTTTGTATCCTCCATAGCCATACTCATATATCTTTGAGGACAGGTGTTGATTTTTTTTATATGGAAAGTATGTTATCTTGGACAATTTTACTCTTGCTGAATGTTAAATGAATAAATTATAAATGCTTGCAGGCAGCCAGAAGCTGTTTGTTCATCTACATGTATGTTCTAATGAAGCCCCACCTTCCCTAGGCTGTAACACTGATAGTCTCATACTTTTCAGATATTCCCAGACTGATTTTCATTATAACGTAGTCCCAGACTCTGTTTGGATTAATTGATTGATTGATTGATTATATTTTGGTGTGTGGGAAAGAAGGAGAAGGATGCTCTTAAATTTTTATAATCTACTGCAGGATAGATTCCCTCTCTTCAAGAATATGTACAGGACCCTTGTTTTCAACCATATTAATGTAATTTGTCTCTGCTTTAGATTTTGGGCATTCCTAGTATAAAATGCCTGATGCGCAAAGCTTTTGTAATGAGAACTTTAATTCTTACACTTTCTTCTGATTACATCTGGAAGGTTGATTTAGATAATGCTTTATTTGGAAAATTTAATATTTTTTAGGATTTGTATCTACTACTGATTTAAGGATTATGGAGGAGGAATCACATATCTCATAGTCATAATGACAAAAGTAAACTGTTAAATTCTAATGTTAAACACCGTAAAACAAATAAGATTTAATAGCTTGGGATATAGCACTTATACTTTGTTGGTATTATTTTTAGTAAATAGGCTGCCTGGTCTGTGCCAGGTAGGATGGGGTTCCCAGTCCCTTCACACTAGTTTCAGCCTAACTTCACATAACCAAGGAGCTTATCAAAGATAA